ACCCAAACGCTTCACAGACCGCTTCATCAATAGAGAGCGCTCAGAGTTAGAACGCATGCGGCAAATAATACGATATGCTCAACTATCAAAAATTAGAAGTGATGAATGTATGCCCATGGCTTTGGATATACCAGATGAAATACCACATGTTCTGCCTGTGAACACAGAAGTTTCAGTGCTTTTGCGTAGCCCATGGGTTGGCGTTTATGATGGAATCGTTACTGCATTTAATAGCGATACATTTACATATGAAATTCAATTTTATTGTAATGAAATAGGAACGCAATTTATAAATGACATTAATATAATGTGGAAAAAAACTTATGCAACATTCTCTATCGATGAGCCCAATTGGAATGTCAAAACAGAATTTGATTGTATTGAAAAAAATATTAACATCAATGAAAATGAAACCACCACAACCGGGGAAGCAGTTCAACGTTCTCCTATTCCAGAAAGATTAGAAGATGATTGCATTAACGGACATCCAACTAAACTTATCAAAGCTCTTATGCTTTTAAAACGGACTGTAGCAAATAAAAAAGAAATTGTTGATAAAGTACGCGATCTAAATGATGAAGCTGAAAATACCTTATATCCAAAAATTGGTCAAAAGTCAGTCAATGATTCTCGCAATTCACGTGGCACTCCACTCGAACTCAGTGTAGAATTTAAGGAACGTTACACTTCACTTATTGCATCTTTAAAAAAAATAAATAACAACATACATGAATATACCAATGAGTTATTAACATATGCTCCAGAACTTAATCCAGCATCAGATGAAAAAATGTCACCGGACCCTATGTGTATAAGGGAAAGATGTTGTAGTGTTGCCGAAGCTGCTATACGTCATAACAATAAAGGCTTGGTTGAAAATAAGAATATAGTTTCACTTATCGAAAAGTTCTCCATTGCTTTGTTAGCAGCTTCGGTTCCGTGCACTGATGCCAATACACAAGGAGTGAAAGATATTATGGATTATTTTATCGAAGAAACAAAGTCCCTAGTTACAGAAGACAACATTAAAGACTTCGAACAACTAATAAAAGTTCCTTTAAACAATTTACGCCAGACAAATAACCAGTAAATGAAGACAGTTTAAATGATGTAATAATTTATATGTTCAAATACATGCTAATAAATAAAATGTATAAAATATATATTTTCTTGTTACTATGTCAATCGATTTAAAATTTCCAGTAATTTAAATATCATTTTTATAACTATAATATTTTTTACAGATATAAATCCAATGTTGTTTTGATTTAATACTTTATAGTTTATAAACGTTATACTTGGTTTACTATTGTTTGCTAGATTTATGGAGACAGACGAGTATGGGCCCTATACCATACTCGTAGCTCCTACTCGATGTATGAAACTTTTTCACACATAACACCAAAACAATAAAAAAAAAACAAAATTCGCGAAAAAAAACAAAGAACATTTTTTCTATAAGAAATATAAATATTGGACTGAAATTCTCTAACATTTACAAATAAAATTTTAATAGAAAAAAATCACAGGCTTTCAAAATTATTCACATATTGCTGTACAACACTGCTTAAATCTTTGGCAATGTTTTCCCTCATTATTCCATAGTCCCGGTCCCTCTTTCTTTGACTACCTCTGGATCCAACGATGTTCTTTGGAAACACCGAGAGATTAAAATAGAATACCAAATTTACAAGATACTACCTGCCAACGAAACACAACTTTACAATAAACAAAACGCAGTGCTTTGATTAAAGAACTGATTACTAGGTTTAGTAATCTCCTCCTAACCTAAACCATAGCCAAAAACACCTTAAAAATATAAGTCAGATTGTCACTTAGAGGTCTCATCTGCCTCGAAGCAGAAACGATTTTCTGTATTCTCAAACAGATCACTGTTGAAATGGCAACGGAAGCCATAATAGCCCATGAAATAACCTGCTAACATATTTTGCTCGATTTCGCTAAGGTGTGACGCCATACTATCAACCATCTTATTCAAGAATAAAGTTATGTTTCAAAAAATTAAGTAACTATAATGGTTTGCTTTAATTACTTTAATTAAATAAAAAATTCTAGTATTACACGTAAAAAAATTAAATATATACCAACAAAAAAATTTACTTAATTAAGGTATTGAACGTTATAAGAAGTTACCATTTATAACTCTTCTATTACTGATGATAAACAGAATCTGTTTACTTAATAAAAAATTATTCATTGTATAAAAAGTGTATATTCAACACTTTTAGCCCAATATCTACTTTCCTCTGTACACAAAAATTTAGCTATATATCAACAGATATAGTCAGGTTGCATTCAGCATTTCTACCAATCCCTTTAATAACTCCACTACTATATCGATTCTTTTTCTATTACGTTATGAGCTTTTTTTACGTCTATAACTCATTCAACTTTTTATATAATAAATTTATTTAATTTAAACTTTTTTGTTTCTTGTTTCTGTACATACCAAATATTAATATTATCAGTGATATAAAAAAAAGATATATTTTGTATTTGAACATAAATATTTAATTTATTAAACAAGCTTACGATATGTAAGTAAGTACTATATGGATAAAAACTCCACATTTATGCGTATAAAACGTTTTTGTTTAACAAATTTAAAGGCCACATAATTACTTCGTGTTATTAAATAAATTTAATTTAAAGCTAGATATTCTAAAAATATTAGTTTAATTAAAATAAATCCACAAACTATTATTATGAAATACTCTTGTTTTCATAAAATAATTGTATAATACATAAAATAAAAGAAAAATTTCAAAATAATTCTTTTTGTTTTCTTTAATAACTGATTGATTACACTATTTTATTTGAACTAATATATCAGTTAACATATTTTGATTTTATTTTTTTATATTATTTCAACTTAGTTACTTATACTATATAAAACTATAGTAGTTATTAATATAATATAACATTTGTTAATGTTAACATAAAAGGCACATATTAGCACTAAAATTACTACGTTAAAATTAATATAAATTAATATAATTTAAAAAATATTAATTACAATGATGAATGAAATTTTTGTCATTGTTATATTGTATGGAAATTGTAAAAAAAGGTATGAAATGTTTATGTTGAAATTAATACGTACATATATATAATAATGAACTATTTTTATGAATAATGTAATGCCATGTTCACACTTAAAATTAAGGAAATCATTTTATAACTTCTGTGAATGTTAGTGAATGTTAAAAAAAAAGTTGTTAGTGCTTTTAAAAGATTATCTGATGAAAATGTTAAGAATTCAGAGACACAATTCAAATATTTTGTTAATTTTTCACTTTAAAATAATTAATTTACTTTTAATAACATTTGATTATCAATTTAGTAATGTTTTGCATATTATGTCTGAACATGGCATAAGTCTTGTTTGAAATTACAATTAAAATATTTGTTTAAAATAAAAATTTTTAATGGTATTTAAACAAATTTTAATGATATTTTTTTTAAATTCAACTTATACGTTGTTGTTGAAAATATGCAGATAGTTCCTTTGGTGTTACATAACCCGATATGGGCGGCATTGCTATATCTATGTTCACATTTTGAAGCGGTGATGTGGGTGCTTGTAGAGTGGGTTTAATTTCGTTTTGTTGTGTGGCATTTATTAAAGAATTTCTTTCGTATGCATCCTATTAAAAGAAATTAATATATTATTTAAACTGCATATTATTGAAAATCGTAATAAAACCTCACCTTTTGCAATTGATCCGGTCGAACATAGCCTGTTTCATTAATTGATAAGCTGTCAATAGGAAATTCAGTAGTTGGTATAGATTTTGTTGGTGTTTGTTGCCAATTGAGTTTTTGATTTGGTTTAACATAGTTATTATCAGTAGGTATAAATCCAATATTTGAGCTAATCGATATTGGTGCCAAATCTGATTCTAAACTAGCATCGGGTGGTACATAAGGATTATCTATGTGCATTCTGTCATCGTTTGCTTTAATCATTTCCATCACCATATAAGCATCACTACTTGTTGGTAAATTTTGCTCCATTACGGTAAATTCTTCATTTGGAACATAATTTGCACAATTATCATCAACAGTATCGTTGCTACTGGTACTAATACCTGCTGTGCTACTCAAACCAGCAACTGCATCACCCAAATATCCAGAATCGTTACACATAGAGGAGAGCAAGTGATGATGTTCATTATTAAATGGTAAATCATCATGCAAAGTATGAAAATTACTAAATGGTGTCTTTTCAATTATTTTATCAGCTATATCATTATTCAATACACTATGATCGGCAGCTCCTTTTGTTGGATAAACACCAATTTCAGCTAAGCCACTTGGTAATGTACACTTGATATTTTTCATTTTACTACATTTATCGTGCAGCATATAAACTAAAGTTAATGTCATCAATAAAATGAACGTGCTACCAAGAGCCCACATAGTATCGGTACTCAGTTTCGATGTAGCTGCACAACCATAAAACGGCCCTTTTTCCCAAACTGACTTGTAGTATACACGATTTTTCACGCCACGATAACTAAGTGAAAGCGCATTAAACTCACTTGCTGACTGTAATTTTCCTGTTGCGATACAAACAAGTTCATTGTTGCCTTCATAGATATTTTCATCTTCCGTATTATTATCAATAAAAATTTGTTGATCAATTTCACTATCAGAAGCCACATTTACCGCACGTACTTCTAACGTATGCTTATAATCTGCATCTTTACACATTGGCATATTAATTACACATGATTCCGTTCCTATTACAGTAGATATACGTTGTTTTTGTAATTGATCTTTATGCCAAACTTTAACAGATACTTCATAGAATTCAACACGTCCTGAAGGTTTCTCCGGCTTCGACCAATGCATAACAGTGCGATTATTTTCTACAGCGGTCATGTGTAAGGGTTTTGACGGTACTGCAAAATATTATACACAATATTATAAGGAAATTAAAAAATATTGCACTTCTATACTTACTTCCTATTAACGTTTGGAAATTTATTATATTACTAGGCAAAGACGCTTCTACTGTATGTGCTGTTACATATACAGTGTAGTTAGTAAAACTGCTTAAGTCCTTCAGATTAAATGTAATTGTCTCATTTAATTTAGCTAAGCCATTTAAAGCTTCAACAGAATAATTCATAACATGATTTTTACTTTTTAAACTGAAAGCAAAAATAATAAAAATGTGTAAGAATAGGAATTTCTGCAATAATACTTATAATTATCTAGTATTTTTATTTTATAATATACTCGAGCGTAGTAAACCGTTCGAAAATTGTCGAACACATATTGCATTCGCATTTGCTGTTATATATATTTGTTTAAGATAGAACGAAAATAAAATAAACTTTAAGAAGATTGTCTGCCCGTTTAACTCAAACAGTTTGAAATTTTTACGAATATTTGAAATGTTCGAATTCGAGTAAACTTGAATAACTTGGAAACCGTTATGCTCTAACCTTTTGAAGCAATACTAAAAATAACAATAATCTTATTTATCACTGTCACTCACTGCAAAAAACATATGCAATGTGCAATCCAAAGCTCAATACCAAAATTTTTTCAAAAAATAATACCGGAAGTAATGAAAATATATATTATTTATTATATATTATATATAAATATATTAAATTAATATTTATATCAATATATTAAATATGTAATTTAATAATTAATATTAAATATATATGAATTAATATATATATAAATATACTAATTAATGAAATAAATATATATAATAAACAAAATATAATAAATAAATAGAATAAATATTAGATTAAATATAATAAGTTCAATATTATAAATAAATATAATAAATTAATGCAATAAATAAATATAATAAATAAATGTTATAAATTATATATATAATGCAAATAGTTAAAGTGGTCATTGGAAATAGTGAATTATATTAAAACATTAAAAATATATTATTTTGAAAGCTTACACAATTGTATATGAAGTTAAATTTCCATTGAAGTGCTCAGGATGTAACCAAGATAACCAAGCTGAATTACTTGTCCTATTCCCACACAGTAAATTTCGTGGAGCTGAAGGTGCTGCAATTTTTAAATTAATAACGGAATAAAATTAATTAAATTGTAATCAAAATTTTATAAAAACGTACCTTCTTCTTTTGTTGTTATTATTTTGGCATCGCTACTTTTACCATTTTTTAGTTTAGAAAACATAAACATTTCTATTTTATAAGTTGAATATGGAGTCAGATTAGTAAGTATAAATTTTTTAGCAGTTTTTTCAACGGTGATTGTTACATTTTCATTTAAACATTTATCTGATTCCAATGTAACATTAACATTACGTTTGACTTTACAGTAAGTGATATTATAACCCTCAATTAAGGATGAACACACACGATCTGGACTCCAATCTAATTGTATAGTACGAGCAGATATAGCAGTCATTTCCGGTTCCAAATTTTCCAAATCACTTGTTACATCTGCAGTACACATTGTCCAATGCATACCCATATTTGTATCAATATAATTTGCAGATACAGCTAAATTAAGTATATGCTCTTGATCTCGATGCTGAGGTGCAGTAGTGAACTTTGTCTCATATTTATTAACATGCTCAAAATGTAACGACCCCTAAAGAATAAGAAGAATATATATTATTAAAGAAAAGTAAAATAATAATATTTCATTTTATAATAATATTTACTTTGCATTCGTTCAGTACATTCGGTTTGGATGGACACCAAAAAACCGTATAATCGACTAAATTGGTTATATTTGCAGGTGCACTCCATGACAGCGTATAAGTACGATTAGCTGCATGATATATATTTCTAATCCATTTTGGAGAATTTAATTTATACGAATCTGGCCATGCTGGAACTATTATTTGGCTGCTTTCCAATGATTCACCAACATTATTACGACTTTTGATTACAAACTCATATTGATGTTCTTTTTTCCAGGGGAAAATTGCAGAAGTGTTATCAATTGACAAGGGCTTCAAATTACTACGTTATAGAAGTAAATATTATATTTATATAATTTCTATATTTAAGTAAATAACAGCAACTTTATACTCACATATTGTAACCATTACGCTTTGTTTCAATAATATATTCGAAATGTGGGCCGTTATACCGATAATTTGGTAGTTGTTGCCAATACAAACGCACACGGGTCTCATTAGGATCAATAAAAAAGCTACCATTATCTGTTTTTGGTGGTGCATCTGGTATACGTGGTAGAGTTTCAAAACTTTGCATATAAAGCTCACTCCACATAGTGTCGTCACTATGTCGTGATACAACTCTTATTCGTAAACTGACGTTATATTTAGTGTACGCGTATGGAAGGTTTCTCAGTAGTAAACTATAATCCATACCTCTTGAATGCACCTCATAATCCGTATGATTTGACCAACCGAAATTCTCTGGACGTAAAAGTACTTCATATTCTAAACCCTTTTTAGCATAAAAACTGAACATGACCACACGCCATGTTAAATTTGCACTATTTGTCGTAATATTTACAACCTTAAACTCAGGGTAAGCAGGTATGACTATGAAATAGAATTTAGATCATTACTTATATTATACGTTCATATACATAATAAATTGCTATAAGAAACTTACCACTCTCATAATTGTTTATCTCAAGACTTTGAAGGTTTGAACCGATTGCATTAATACCGAACAATGCAAATTTGAAGAACTCATAAGACGACCGATAATTGCGATCCACTTTTGACAATTTGCAAGTGACTTCTTTGCCATGAATTTCCAATTCACAGCGTTGTACATAATTCTGCGGTAAATAATGCATTCGATAAAGACGTGTGCCATTTTTATCAATATAAGATTCTTTCCACTAATTTAGTTAGTTAATTTTTTTTCAGTGTTTCAGTGAGAGTGCAATTTTAGTATTAAAATTTTATTCAAATTAAAATTGTGTTAAAAAATGTTTTAAACCAGTTTTACATTGTTTATTAGTATTTGGTGATATGTTAGTTTTACCAGTCATAATTGGTGTTAGTACGTGCACGATAGGGAATTAATCAAACATGCAAAATTTAAAAGTTAAACAAATTTAAAAAGTTGTAATTAAAAAAATATTCAATTAAAAAATATAAAACAAGAACTTAAATGTTAAAGATTAATAAAAAATAAATAAATAAATAACAACTGCATTTGAATTATCTGCAGAATTAAGTAGTTTAGCGCAGATATATAAGTATTGTCTTATAATTATAATAATATAGTAATTTATCAAATCTATATGTATATTCATATGTTTACAGTTACAGTCTATATACTAATAAAAATAAAGACTTTTAGTTGCATTTCTAGAATATAATGTATTTCAAAATGAAATCATGTATTGTTGCTATAAATTCATGTTTTTTTTTTAGATATATATAAGAAAGTTTCTCAAGTAGGTTTTTAATTATTTCTACTTATTTCTACAAATTCAGGCGGTACAAA